GTGTGGGGAGTGTACTGGTGCAGTACAGCTGCTGCCACATCACCCAGGTGGGGCTGCACACTGGTGGTGGTGGAGGGGATCCCCATGACCTGTGAAGCGCTTTGAGCGTCCAGAAAAGCAATATGCGAGTGTAAGGACGATTAATCAACAGGACAGCCCGAATATCAAACACACCCATCGCCCCGGGAGGGGGGAGGGAGCCAGTACCGCACCCCAAGTTGTGCGGACGCCGGGGCGAGGGGGGTCTACTCACCGTGGACACCTTGCCGACCACCTCGGGGATGAGGGCGAGGCCCTGCACGAAGGTGCGCGCGGCCACGAAGGCCCGGGTGATCTGCAGCTTGAGCTTGCGCGGCTCGTCCCCGAAGGGCCGCAGCTGCTCTGTGTGCTTGCTCACGCACTCCATGTAGGCGTCGGAGAAGGAGTGCTGCACGTTCAGCAGCCGGAACATGCGCTCCAGCAGCTCCGCCCAGAACTCCGCCAGCATCTGCTCCAGGCTCACGCCCCCCGCCACGTAGTACCGCCGCAGCTCCTGGAAGAAGTGCTTGAACAGCTCGGCGTTCTCCACGTACATCAGCCCGTAGGTGCGCACGAACATGTTGTGCAGGGACAGCCCGGCCTTGTCCAGCAGCTCCCGGAAGAACTCTGGAAAGAGAGCGGGAAGGAGACGGGAGAGAGGGGTCAGCGTTCCGGCTTCCGGGGGAACTGCATCCGTCGCGTCAGCTTTTGTGGGACGCGGCCCCCACAAAAAACGGGGTACAGTCTCGGCACGCACACGGGTGCCCCCGCCTGTCTCGTCTGAAAGGGGTTCACCACCACTGCTGCCGGAGGGGTTGAAGGGTGCTTTGCCCCTGGGAGCCCGGCCCGGCCCCTCGAAGCGCTCCTCTGTAAGCCAGGGAGCTCCAGGCCTCGGGGCTATCTGCAGGAAGCATGGGCGGCCCCTCATGTCTGCAGTGTACTGCGCACTGTAAAGGCTGCATTGTAAAACCTCCAACAAAAAAGAAAGGAGATGAAAACCCAAGAAGATGATGGAAAAGAGCACCTACACACACAAAAAAAACAGGAATTTGTCTCCCCTTAAAGCTCTCTGACATTCCTCCTGTTTTATGCTGTGGTTTCCTCTTGACATCCCTGTCCTGCTCGAGGTCTATAGGTCACAGATGAAGGCTTTGTACGAACACTGCGTGAGGGGTGGTTCTGGGTGGCGATAGTGGTAGTTGTGGTGGTGGGGGGGGAGTGGGGTCTGATTTTTTTTTCAGGGGAGGGGCAGTTTTGTCTCTCTTCGTCTTCGAAGAGCAACGGAAACAGCAGAAAGTCTGCCGGCTTGCAGATTTTCATTAAAACGAGGCGACCGCTAACAAGCGAGCCTGACTGCTCTCCATTCAATGGAATTTTTTCGTGCGCAAATTCCTTTTTTTTCCTTCTCCTGCGGCCAATTCAATGGGATTAGTGAATCCCCCCCCCCCGCCTCCTCCTTCCCCTCCTCACTAAGGTCCCCCATGACCTGTAACCCCTCCCCAACCATCCTTCAGTCTCCCCAGCCTGCAGAAGCTCTTCTTTCCCTGCAGCCCCAGAACAATACAGCTCTTAATCCTCTGGAATGCTTTAGCCCTTTCTCAACCTGGGGAGAAAAGGAATTCCACAGTCTCGCGCGCGGCCCTCCATCAGCTCCTCTGTGCCATTTCTATAGGCCTTCATTAGCACGGAAATGGAAAACTCCAGCACACACCCTACTTAGTAGATTTATAGGTGATTACAAAAGCATTTTGTTATTTGCCTCCCCCAAAAAAAGATGGTGGTGGTGGTGGTGTGGGAGGTTACAACCCTGAAAGGCGCTGAAAATAAGTTACGTCTGGGCTCTGGTTGAGTCTTTGGAAAAGAACAGCAAGAAAATAAGATTTCTTTGCCCTGATCCTAAGGGTTTACAGAAATCAAACATCCTGCTGCAAAACGCCTGACCTCCGCAAAAACCAGGTGCCGTGAGCCGGACCCCCTCCCTCTCCCGAAACCACACGCGGGCCGGGCACCTCTTCTCCATTCTGTCCAGGGATTTAACTCCCCCTCCTCCTCCTCCCTGCCTCCCCAGGGGCCCGAGATCTAGACTAAATCCCAAACGCACCCCCGCGGTGTCGCCAAGGAAACCGGAAACACCGCGGGCCTTTCCGTTTGCTTTCAACAGCCCCGCGGGGGGAGGGGGGGTTGCGCCGCGCCACGCTCGGCCACAGCTCCGGCAGCCGCGGCTGGGCTGGGCTCGCGGGGGACGCAAGTTTAAAGTCGCGGAGAGGGGCCCGCCTGTAGCACGAGCTCCACCCGCCTGGCCGCCCCAAGGACCGAGTCACCCACACACCCCCTCCTCGTCTGGCCTTCCTTCTCCCCCCCGAGTCGCTACACGAGAAACCCGGACCCTTATTAACGTACCGACGTGGTTTCTCTTTTGGGGCAGTAACTCGCTCTTCCCAGGTTTAGGAGTTCGGTGAAAAAGCCCCAGGGAAGACCGTCCCGCTGCCACAACCACAGGGCTGGCCACCCCCTGCCTCCCCTCGCACACAGGGGGCGGGGGCACAAGAAGCAATGGGGGGCAAACTGAGGCCCTTTACTGGCTTTGGCCCCCAACACCCCCCTCAGCCCCCCACCCTCAATTAAACCCCGAACCCCTAAAACAGCAGATGGCACGAGCCAGACAGGACCTGCAGGGAAACCGTGTGTAGAACCGGAGGCCGACCTGCAGGGCCCCTCATTCAGGACCCCCCTAGGTCTTGCCCTGACTGCAGCTCTCCGCTCCCATAAAAAAGGAGACGCTCTCTCTGCCTCGAACCCGGGGTGGAGACTTTGCGCGGGGGGGGGGCACACCTATTGCCCGACGATGCTCCTTCACCCCTCGGCCTGCTGCTCGAACCCTGCAGCCCGTGTTTCAGTGAAGATTTGCGAGCTTTCCTGCAGTTGACTCGCCGAGCTCCACCCTCTTGAACTCTTCGAAAAAATTCCTGCCGCTAATGAGTCTAAATCTGCTCAGATGTTTACTAAAAAAAACCAAATCTTAGAAATGCTTGGAATCCACACGCTAATCCAGGACCTGAATGGGCTGGTGCAAATCTAGTATCACAGCAGGCACGGGCTCAGGGATTAGACATCTAATTTTAAAACTTAAAAAAAGTGTTCCTTCCAAGGCCAGGTGTTTGGCTTCGCCATCATACTAATTCCGTATCGACACCTGAAGGGTCTCGTTTCTTTTCCTTTCAGCATGGAATAAACCTTTACCTGTTCTTAATACTAATGAAGCCAATGGATTTCCAATTTATTGTAAATAATCTGGTGACATATTCAGTTTTCGGCTGCTGTCAAGTAAATCCCCATCTCCCGCTGTGAAACAGACACTCCCAGGGCACAGGAGGAGATAAGCCTATAGTGAACAACAGTCAGAACCCCCTCTCCCAGCTTGAACACCAGGAGCTGGTGAGGACCGGTGTAGCCTGGCGAGATGGAGAGGCGCGTGTGTGTGTGTGTGTGCGTGCGTGCGTGCGTGCGTGCGTGCGTGCGTGCGTGCGTGCGTGCGTGCGTGCGTGCGTGCGTGCGCGCGCGCGCGGGGCGGGGTTCTCACGGTCGAAGTGGCTGTGCCGCTGCTTGAAGGTGCTCTGCAGCGTGGAGCTCAGCTGGCTGACGGGCGCCTTCAGGTCCGAGCGGCTCTGCTGGCTCAGCTTCTCCTCCATCTCGGCCGTGCAGCAGGTGAAGCCCTGCGGACACACCTTCAGGTGGGCACCTGCAAGCAGAAGAGAGACTCCGTCAGCCCGGGGCCAGAGAGACCCCAGTCCCCACACCCCCGGGGCAGGGCGCACAAGCCCTCCGAGCAGCGCCGGTACTGCAACCAACCCTGTGGACCAAGCCGAGACCCGCCGCTTTGCTGATGATCAGCCACTCGACTCAGAATTCGGTCGGGGTTTTACACGTTGGTAGATGCATTCGAATCCATGTCCGCAGGCCAGCGTGGCAGCAAGAGATCAAATCAGTAACATAACACCCCCCATCAGACGACTTGTGTCTCTGAAAAGATTTTAATACAACTGCTCAAATGAATGAACAATAATAACCATCAGATCAATGCATACATTATCACAGGCATGTCAGCAGCTTCACTTTACATTCACACATGACCATCAAGGCTCATACTGATAACACAGCCTGCTATATTCTGCTGTTACCCTGACTTCCAACAGCATAAAGCAAACCGTATAGACACACTGCTGACATGCTACAGCTTCGCCCCTCTACACAGCTGGGCTGACTGAAGCACTAGGAGAAGGACACGCAGTCTGCACTCGGGGGCCTGAACTCGCAACCTTTGACAACTGTTAAGGTTCAGAGCCCCCATGTGTACTCCAGCACCTGGTAGCTTTACACAAAGATAATTCAGCATTTCACAAGGCTCTCCTGCCGTTTCCTCGGGACAGCCTGCACACTAGCCAGGGACAAGCCTGTGTATACAAAGCACCTAAGGCGGCAGAACACAGCGGGCTTTTAAAATGTCTACCAGGAAGATATCACTCCATACACTTGCATACCCCTAACATATGAAACTGGAAATTCTGTGCACAGCAAAGCACAAGAGACAATCAATTAAATGTGGCTACAGATGTTACCACAAACACCAATTTCCGAGAAGACCATCACAGACTCTCTCCAAACTCCAAAACACTTCTGCTAAAGATCCCCCCCACTCAATGTCCACAGCACTGCTGCGCGTCAACAGAAGTTCTTGTGGCCGAGTACGAGCTACAGCTCGAGCCTAAATGCTTTAAATTCATTTAGCTAGCAGGGCGGGCAACTCACTTATGAAACGCGCACGCACAGACCGCAAACACTTACTTAAACCAGCAGCGTGACGCCACGAGTTTTTAATTATTGTTATGGTGCACAGATTGCAAGACCGGCCAGGCATCCGAAGTCACGTGGCCCTACCCTGGTTCACCCTCTTGAATTACGAGGGCGTCTAGAGAGCTCTCAACACGCCCTGGAAACTGCACTGCAGTGAAAGGGCCCGCGGATATGAAGAGAGCAGAGGCTGGAGGAAGGCAGAACAGCACCAGGTGGCCGGAAGAGAAAGGGGTGTTCTGCAGGTGGCAAGTCCAGAGCAGAGAGACTTGAGACCTGCTTTTCTTTTTAGAGAAGCCCCCTCCCAGCCAGGGGAACAGGCGGCCGCACTCATTGCAATAAAAACCGCAGCCCAACAGAGGTGGAACTCTTTCAAGCTGAAATCCTCAGCACTGTAACGGCTCTGCAGCATGGCTGGGGATCCGGATCAGCACCTCTCCAGCACACCCCCTCCTCCCTCTGCCTGATCCCACACACCTCTGACTCGGGGGATGCTCGCGCTAACCCAGGGGGTCCCCCCAATTTCCATGCCTCACTTGAGGAATGCACGCCACACCCACATTTCCTGTTATTAAGAACTGGCCTTTGCACTCCTTAAGCTGTCTAAGATCTTGACAAATAAATGGTTTTCATAAGACTCGTAAAGCTTCCTGCCTTATCGATGACACCAGCACAGCCCAGGGAATAAACGCAGACGTTTTGAAGTCTGTTACCGGATGCGCTTCCCTAATTATATATACATACACACACACAGCTCGTATTGGCACAGCTGGCTAGTCTCACACCGGCAGGGTAGAGCCCATTCGGATTCGGCAGTGCTTTGCAACAGGGGTGCCAACAAGCTGGGCTCGTTTCAAGAAAAAACCCCTAGCTTATTTTCCTGCCCCCACCTGCCTCCCCCTTCTCGCAGCGAGAGGTGCAATTAAATAACTTCCAGTAATGCATCGCCAACACCCCCCCACACACACCCACCCAGCCAGCGGCCTCACAGGGCCCTGAATTCCTCAGTGCTCTCAGTCTGAAAGGAATGCTTTGTCTGTTATTTTAGCTAATGGAAGAGCAGCTCGGAGGCCCCTCTGACAGGATAAGTCAGGCTTTTCTGTGAGAACCAGCATCACTGCACAGCCTGACACCCACCTGAGTCCCCCTGCCCCCCTCCCTCAAAACCTCTGCCATACCCTGGGGCCTGCGCGCGGGGGAAAACCCACCGAGGGAAGAGGAAACGACGGAGCTGAAGCACAGCGGCCTGACCCGTGAGCACTGATTGCACCACTGGAGCCGAAAGGTGACATTTCACGTTATTCGAACTCCCCGCGTGCACCTACGGACATTTTCTCAAAACGAGGTCAACGAGCTTCCAAATTGCCCCCCGCACCTGGCACCTGGCACCTGGCACCTGGGCTCGAGCAGCACCGTGCTGGGGGCTGGGAACCCCGGAACGGCTCTCGAAGTTCCAGCTGCTCTGCCGGGCTCCTCCGTCTTTCTTCCGTGGTCCGGGAATCACCTTCTCAGAACGGGGCAACCGCGCTCAGAAACCAGAAACCTTGCCTGGAGCACTCCCGTGTGAACCAGACCGCCGCCGTGGGGCTGGGGGTGACTACCTTAAAACTGGGCGAACACCCCCCCATAGTGTCTCAACACCCCATTTCTTGTAAGGCTGTGCACACTTCAGCACAGAGGACGAGCGTGTTTTGAGAGACCAGATTTGCTAAAAACAAGTGGTGCATTAATCAGCCCAGGAAAATGTCTTTAAAGAACTGTACCGCAGCTGACGGGTTATTCCTATTAATTATTCAATTTTTTACAGCTTGGATTACAGATCAGACGTTCAAAGGTACATCCTCTCTCCCCCAGGGAACCTGTTGCTGTAAAACTACACAACATCTGCACCGTGGAAGACGACAACAACACGAAGGATCTTCACATGCTACCCCCCCTTGTGGTGTGGGGCTTACCCCGGATTCCCCAAAGGGTGCCCCGCAATCCTGCCCCCCCAGCTGAGGACGTGGGCCTCACCCCCGACCCGCAATGCGTCATGTGACTGACGCTCCATCCCGGCCCCCGGCTCCAGAGCGCGCCTCAATGGGGTGTCTGTTCCCAGGGAGCCGCTCCGTCGCCCAGCTCCCGAGGGCATCCGCCAAACCTCTCGACGGGACGTCCCGCGAACTGAAGGGTGCTTCTGTGAGCGATTCGCAACGCTCGGGCCTCCCGAGGAATGGGAGCCGCTGCCGGCGTCGCCCCGTCTGTCACAGGGGTCCGAGCGGGAGGCCGCGCCAGTGTGCACAGGCCTGCAGGGATCTCCAAGTACACGCAAGCTCCCCCGAGACTGGGAACAAGAAAAGCTTGCAATGGCTCTCCGTTTTCTACAGGTGCACTGGGCTGCCACAGGTTAAGGTCAAATTTAAGCCAGTGTATTTTTTGGGGTGTCTGGGGAGGATGGCTTAAATGTCCTGTCATCAGCAGCTCACATGAAACTCCCCAACACTTAAACACGAGGAGGGGGGTATGTTCTATCCCCATCTCCAAATGTGGACTTGTGGAGAGCGCTGGGCTGACTTTCCTCCAGATCCTCGTGGCGTTGTTAGCAGCCATGCCTACCTGCTGGTGAATTACAATCTAACTAGAGAACATCCTCAGTCCCCAACACCAAGGTTAACAGAGGACTATTCAGAATATATCTGTGATGCATTAAAGAAGGACAAAAGGCATTCAGTGTTGCAACAGACCCCATTAACTGAAATAACTCTTCAGTTAGCATCCTGCAAGATCTGTATAACACTTGCTTACTTCTGCGTTGTCCCACTGGGCAAGAAAGGAGTGACTAGTCACAGTTCTGCACATGTAGCCCACACACCCTGACCAGTGCTCTGCTCTTGGTGTGGTCATCCTGTGGGACTATCGGATATAATAGAGGCATTTCAGGGAAGGACAATGCATAGGAATTACCCCAGCGCATTCCTGACTAATTGAACACCAACAAGGGTTCCTGTTATTAACAAGCCACACTTATGTTGGCGCTCAGCAGTGGCGACAGCAATCAGGTTAAACTTTAGATTTGACACTAGTCCTTTATTTGCATAGCCTACAATTTCACCATCACAACACAAAGGGTGGCTGTCCCATACTGAAGTTGAGTGCTGTGCTGCAGGACTTCACTTGAGGGGGTAAAGTGAAGAGCAGGTATGAGAATTTTGAAGAGATTGGAAATCCGCAGAGACGAGACTTTGCAGCGTTTTTGCCCCCAGTTGTCTATAACAATGTTTATTAAGAGGGCTCTGGTTCTGCATCTCCATGCCCCCCAAGAGAAAATGATGAGTCCGTGAGGGTCTGGTTCATCAGCACCCCTGATCTCTCACCAGGACCACCGGCAAACAGGAAGGACAGCCGGTAGCGGAACTGACAGCATTAACGTTTCGCAGTCGGTCTTCTTCAAACGAAAGGAAGACTCCCACACCCCGTCAGGGAAGAGCGAGGGCGTGTTCTTCTGACAGAGGGAGAAGAAAGGCTCCACAGAGGAGCGCGAGTCAACAACGACCAGCTCGGCCTTGGGGGACCCCGCCATTACAGAAGGGAGCGAGACGCCTGCAGAAACGCTCCTTGCAGACGACCCACTCCTGAGCGACAGCGGCCCGCTCTCTGAGCTCCCACCCAGCATAGCGCTTATCGCTCCCAGACGCGGCAAGGCCCCCCGATCTGCTGCCCCCCGGCAGGGCAACGTGCACAGAGCTAGCCAGCCCCCCCC